ATCTAGGAGGGGGACAGGCTGAGTGATGAAGACTTGTATAAATTCCTAGCAGATATGCGAAGGCCTTCTTCAGTTCTAAGGAGGCTCAGACCCATCACAGGTACAATTATCACTGAACTAAATGTTCTTTCATTTCTTGATTCTGTTGGTAGTTAACCCGACACTGAGATCGTGATATGTTTAAATTACTTAGACATTGGAAGAAGTGAACCGACTGGTTTCATAATTAAGTACCTCAGTTTCATTATTTCCCTGTACACCCACTCCCTTCATTTTCTATCTTGTGTGACTGTCACCACAGCCCAGTTGAAGCTGGATATTTCTCCAGCTCCAGAGAACCCCCACTATTGCTTGACCTCTGACCTGCTGCAAGTCAAACCTTATCCAGACAGCAGGGTACGCCCCACCAGGGAGATCCTGGAGTTCCCTGCCAGGGATGTCTATGTGCCAAACACCACATACAGGTACAGAAAATAATGTGCGGTATGAACAAGGAACTTCTGTCTTGAGTCAGAACAGTATATTCATTTATAAAGCTTTCTTTCCAAATGACCTGTCAATAGGTTGCAAAATACAATATTTATTTTCTACTTTAAAGTGATTACTGACTTAATGGATTTGGGATGCAGTTAAACATGTCTCCTGATGTTGCCTTTCAGAGATATTCTTATCTATCACTACCAGTGATTTCCCATTTACAGTGAAACTCAACTGCTACCAGCTAAACTTTTTTTATAAGATATAAGGTAAACACTTAGAGATGTAAATTCAACACAGTTTTATACTTTGAGCTGCCACAGATATGTGTGTGTATATGTATATTATTTTCATTCAGCACGTTGTTTTATTTGGCTCACTTTAGAGTTAAAGGTATAAATTTTACTTCAAGTCAGATCAACACTGTAAAACAGGTACTCGGGTTAGCACATTGATTTTTATTTTGCCTTCATAAATATGATTTGTTAGAGCACAGCTTCTCTTCAAGGCAACATGTTGGTATGAGACCTTTACAGTACAGTTGTGTTGGGAAAAAATGGACAATTGAGTCAATATGACTCAATGACATAAGAATTACACAGCATAAATCATAACAATGTTAATATGGTTTAAATACTTTACAGAGTAAAAAAGTAGAACAGGCAAAGGGAAAATCTTATCAGTTTGCTGCAAAGCTTTGTTTCTACATTCTTTTGTTTTGTATTTGCTGACCTCCACTTTATAGGTGTATTTCCATGAAAATGGGGCTGAAGCAGTGTAAAATAGCAGGAAGAAATGACAAGGATCTAGCTGGAAAGAAAAATAGACACACAGTGTTGACACATTTTAATATGTTGATGATGCAGTGTCTCTTTTTAGCCATCACTCTCTGTATACTATTTGCACTCTGTAATAACTTGTTGGTCGTTGTGTCTGTAACTTTTTTGGAACAGTTTTAGAATTGCATTCTGATGTGTCCTCATACCTTTCTCTCTTGCTGCAGCACAGTGACATTTTGCTGATCTATATCAGGCTGTTGATATAGATCAACATGTCCAGTTTGCAAGTGCTTGCAGATGTTGCATAATGGCAGTGCTACTGTCCTTGCTGGATCAGGCCCAATAGGTTAACGACCTGCATGGCATGGTGCCTCATTACTACAGTTCAGCATTTTCCGACTCCTGACATTTTACGCCTGTTTTCCGTTGTTCAGCATCAGTCTCAGACAAAGTGGTGTTAAGAAGCAATCAGCATTATGTTGCAGATAAGCTAATAATTTTGCATCACAAACCTATATGTAACATCTTCCCCTTTTATGGAATGTTTTGGCTGAGCAATAGATATTATCAGTGTTGATTAAAAAAAAAAAAAGTCAGTAGTGTTGTGAGAGAAATGTAGTCAGTTAAAGGTTTCAGAGGTTGGAAGTTGTCGCAAGGTGATCTTGGTCATCTTGAGGGAGTAGGAGGGCCCTGTTCCAGGTTTCCAGTGAATACCCTTTCTCCTTACAGAGCGCCCCTTTCCCTTCAGCCAAAAGTACCTTCCATTAAGGTTGGTCTCTCCACAGCCATTGAACCACCAGCCACCTGTCAATGGGCCAGTACAAGAGACACAAAATTATATAAACTTAACTTGATGTTCACAAAATTATCTTGATTATCCCTGTGGTATCTGTATGCAAAACTCTTTACCTGTGTGACTTCGAGTGCAGCTGAGGTTTCGGTGGTTGTCATCATTTCTGTCTTGTGTGGAGAATCTCATGCCGGTACTGTTGGCCATGACATCAGGCAGGTCACCAGAGAAATGACTGACATGAAGTGCATAGTCCTCAGAGGGGCCTTCCAGTGAGAAACGGTACTCAGCCCAGTGTGTCTCCTCCTTCCAGTCCTCCAAATCAATACGTAGGATGTAAACTCCCTGCTGTGCAAGACTGTGGATCTTCTTTAAGCCCAACCAGAAGTCCTCTGCATTACACGTACATTAGTTTTTATCTTGTCTGAACATTTTAAAGAAAACTGTGAAGAAAATCTCTTATGTTACTGTCTCTTAACAGGAAATCTCAAAAGGTTTCTGGTCTCACACTCAGACTTGTAATTTATCTCCATTAGTCTTCGAGTCACCCATATTTGTTCTGAGAAGATGTGCATGTCTATACATGTTTCACTTGGCCTGTGGTAACATGCCACAGTCAGTTCAAGGTACAACTAAAATTCATGCCTGCAGGAGCCATTATTTTGGAATGGGGAATGGCTGCACCTCTGAGTGACTTTCTAAGTGAGAGCTGCAGGGAAGGGTGCCAAAAGCTGCAGTGTACCCAGACAATACAGGAAGTCACTTCCTCAGTTCAGTGCTGACATTTAACAATTCCTATTTCCTATGATCAAGTCTACAGGAAGAACTGACAGTTGTTCCCTTCACCAAGAAACATCTATGCATGTTAAGGTAGTATTCAGTGTAAATGGTCCTGTACTACCTTCAGATGCCTTTATTTTGTGACTTGAAAAAAGTTATTGCTTTAGTTCTGCAGCAAATGATCTAAATCAAGTTGTTTATGGTTTTAGCAAATGTAAAAGTAGTATATTTGGAATTTAACACAAAGTTACAGAAGTGCTTACTTTCCAGATCCCCAAAGCCCTTCTCGTACTTGTCCCATGTCTGGTCAAAATCCACTGCACTATCGAGCCTGCGTTGGATGACAGTCCAACTCCTGTCTGTAGAATGGGTGAGAAATGTTTACCAAGTCGGGTCAATGTCATGAAAGTTACACACAAGTTTAGATAAGTATAGATATGGGACCTCAATATGTTCCTTGTCCATTGATTGGAAACGTGCATAAATGCCAGTGTTTCATCTTATACATAATGTCAGTGCCTCTGAATACAAAAACAGTACTTTGATGCTGTCATTGATTCTGTAGTCTCACCCACCTGAACCCATGTCACAGTAGACGTTGAATGGCTCTGATCGGTTTGGCCTAATAACATAGATTCCACTGTTTGTCTCTCCTTTGTTAAACAACTCACCGCAGTCCATGGGAAGGTCTAAAACACAATAATTGCAATTAGGGGATTCAGATTTTCCTGAACATTTTCATTGTTTGTATTTTCAAATATAAAATTTTATTTTGGCCTTTTCAACAACTGATAATACCAAAATAGTTTTACCATTTGCGTTGAGGCCGGTCGAGTTTCCAGTCAGATATTCAAACATATCAGGATCTGCAGGGTCTGAATCAATTGGCTTATTGACTGTATCTTGAAAACTGTCATAGCTTAGCTGCAAGAGAATGCAAATGAATCCACATTGTTAAATTACTGTATGCTCTCAGTCCTTCCCATATTACTAAAGAAGCAATTGCTTTGATAATTTCAAGTATCAAACTATTTTCTCTGGGATAGCACATTTTTTGCAGATAAATACAGTGAACTCTTATAGACTTACCTTTTCCTCCAGATTTTTAATCTTCAGTTTCTGGTAGTCAAGTTGGTCATGCTGCTCCTTCACTGCTTGCAGCAGTTGGGTGATTGTTTTCTCTTGGGCTTCAGTCACTTCCTGAAAAATGCATTCAATGTTATCTATATTTGTTTATCTTGGGACCAGTTTTTTTCTAATGTGCAGCAGTAATTAATAGGAGGCATCTACTGTAGGCTATCTAATAAGTGACATCTATGCTGACATTAACACTGCACTTGCATTGTTGGCTTGATTTGGAGGGAACTTTCTATTTGTGGACATATAATCCACATACCAATGCAAACTTTAAAAAGGAAGTCAGTGGAATTGTCTCGGTACTTATTAATTGATTACCTTGAGCAATGTGATTTCACTAAGCTTGTCAGGTTTGACCAGGCTCTGGGACAGTCCCTTCAGCCTCTCCTCGAGGTTCCCCACTTTGGTCTGTAGCTGTATGCGCTCTTGCAAGATGTTGTTGATCTTAGAGTTGATTTCCAGGGACAAGTTTCTGATCTCCTCATTGTTGGTCTTCAAGAAATTGGTGGTCTTCTTCATCTCCTCCTCTTCCTCCTTGATCTCTGATGTGACCACTGAGAGCTGGTAAAAAGAGCGGTCGAAAATGTTCAACTTCTGAAAGATGTCATTGATCTGGGCCTTGGTCTTGTGGACGAACTCTCGTAAACTCTGACCCAACTGCAGGAGGCCATTTGCAAGTAGGCGAACATCGTCCAGCATGGCAAAGCGAGACTTTTCCTTGGTCGGGCTTGGTTCTGTGATAAAGGCATTGGTGGGCAAAGTGGGTTGCTCTTCTCTACCTGAGGTTTCCAGAACGACAGCTGCAGTGGAAATAGCTATCAGTACTGACAGGCAAAACAGCCTCCGCATGATTTTCTTGTCCAGTCCTAGAAGAATGTGGAATAACAAAACACTTCTGACACAGTATTGAACTGCTCTTGCTCTCCTCTACTCAACACCTGCCTATAACCTAGACCTCCTTGCTGTTAAAATTATGTGAGAGAACCAGGCTGCCCTCTGTTATATACTGCTCTCTCAGTGGGGTGGGGGATTAGCTGATCATTAAATTCTACTGTTTTAGCTCTGTACCCAACCTCCTCTCAAATCCCTCTCAAGCCCTCCCTCTCCTGAGCAAACAAATCACAGCACTGAGCAAAATGATATATACACCCCTTCCTCTGTACTACCCATTTAACCCCAATCCCCTCTCCATACCACACCCTACCCTACCCTGTTCTCCATCTGGAGTGCAGAGTTTTAGCTGATCAGCAGAAAGCTAACAATGACCAATGCAGGTTTTTGATGGATTGTCAGTCTGATCAGTCTTAAACCTTATAACTCTGCACATACTTTGCACTGATT